GACATGGCTTTTTCAACAAGCGGGACTGACCTAGGGTGAATTTTAAATAGGGAATAATTTTTTAAAGATTTTAATAATGACACAGCCATAAATATATTTGGTTTTTAATTGGTTTTATAGGGGAAATGTTTTTTGTGTTGTTTTTTAACATGCTGTGAGCCGCCCTGAGTCCCGTGGGGAGAAGGGCGGCATAGAAGTTAGTGAAAATAAAATAAAATAAATAAATAAATAAAGCAGATTTTCCCAAACCTGCTTCGGATCTGAACCGTTACACATCCTTAATTTGCTTACCCTTAGCGAAGCAGTCCTATAATTTTTTTTTAAAAAAACCCTATTAATTCAATAGCATCCCATGATTTGTGGCTTGGCCTTTAATGCGGGCTTCTTTAACAAACGGTGATTAAATCGCCAACAATATCTGAACTATGGTTCTCTATTTTTTTTTCCTGTTTTCTTTCTCCTCCAGGGAAAATAGCCTTTAAAAGCAGAGAGATCTTTTCGCCCTGCTCGTTTTTCGGAGAAGGCCAAGGGTTCTGTTTTCGCTTTGTAATTTGACTTTTGTTTTCCTTCCCCCCCACCCCTCTCCAGTTGTTAAATTCGGGGCAACGGCAGCTGTTATTTTGCGAGACCCTAACCGAGACCGTTTACAGCGACCGAGGTCAACTAATCAAGTCCAAGGAACGCAAGGTGTTTCTTTTGAACGACGTGCTGGTGTGCGCCAACATCAACTTCAAGTGAGTTGTGTGTCAACGGAGAGAAGGGCACACGGGGAGGCTGTCATCCAGCAGGTGTCATAACAGAAATAGAGATTAAAAATGCGTAGGGGTTTTGGTGCGCGTCCTTGGCATTCTCAGGACGTATTTTGGCCTGGAGGAACAAACCTGAATTTCCTGCCCTGCGTAGAATTATTGGCAGAGTGTGAAAATTATTCCTTGCTGAAATGTGGGGGGGAAGTCTCGTAATTCCAGAAGGCGGGTGCCTTGTTCAAAAGTGGATAATGTTTATTTCCAGAGTTGGAGGCTTTATGACCGGGGTCTCCAAACCTTGGCAACTTTAAGACTTGTGGACTTCAACTCCCAGAATTCCCCAGCCAGCATGCCAAAACTGGAGACCCCTGCTTTGTGGGGAGGAAGACCCGAAACCATGTTGTTGTTGTTGTTATCATTATTATTATCATTATTATCATTATCAACAACAACAACATAATCATAATCATAATCATAATCATAATCATAATCATAATCATAATCATAATCATAATCATAATCATAATCATAATCATAATCATAATAATAATAATAATAATAATAATAATAATACAGTTGGAAGAGACCTTGGAGGTCATCAATCTCCTGTTCAGGCAGGAAATCCTATACCATTTCAGAAAAATGGCTGCCCAGTCTCTTCTTAAAAACTTCCAGTGTTGGAGCATCCACCGCTTCTGGAGGCAGGTTGTTCCACTGGTTAATTGTTTTAACTGTCAGGAAGTTTCTCCTTAGTTCTAGGTTGCTTCTCTCCTTGGTTAGTTTCCATCCGTTGCTTCTTGTCCTGCCTTCAGGCACTCTGGAGAATAGGTTGCTCCCCTCTTAATAGAATAACAGTTGGAAGGGACCTTGGAGGTCATCTAGTCCAAACCCCTGCTCAGGCAGGAAACCCTACACCATTTCAGGCAAATGGCTGTCCAGTCTCTTCTTAAAAACTTCCAGTGTTGGAGCACCCACAGCTTCTGGAAGCAGGTCATTCCACTGGTTAATTGTTCTCCCTGTTAGGAAGTTTCACCTTAGTTCTAGGTTGCTTCTCTCCTTGATGAGTTTCCATCCGTGGCTTCTTGTCCTGCCTTCAGGTGCTTTGACTCCCTCTTCTTTGGGGCAGCCCCTGAGATACTGGAACACTGCTATCATGTCACCCCTGGTCCTTCTCTTCATTAAACTAGACATAGACATGTATGTCTATGTCTATGTCTAGTTTAACTAAACTAAACTAGACATGAGTGCAAATTAGAAGCAAAAATTAACTTTTGAGGGCTCTGCATTAAATCCGTCAACTGCTCCAAACGGCAAAGGAATTTAAAATAAAAACAAAAAACAAAATTCTGTTTGGAGGAGAATTAGATAATGACTTTTTGCTTTGATGTTTCTCTTCGTCAGGCCCGTGAACACCGGGTAGGACGTGAAGGGCAGGTTGGAGAGATGCAGTGGTTGTGTGAATGGCTGCGAATGCATGGTGTGAAACAGGCATGCAACTGAAATATCTTTGTGTTGATTTGCGAACCCGTAGCATCCATAAAGGGGAGCTGTGGTGGTGTTTTGAATTATTGTGGGTTTTTTTAACAATATTCCAGTTCCCCCCCAAAAAAGATTATTCAACAGGTAGTCCTCAAGTTACATCCATTTGTTTAGCGACCATTCAGAGTTACAACGACACTGAAAAAAACGGACCCACAAAAACTGACACTCTTTACCTGTGACTGTCACAGCATCCTCGGGGTCACGTGATCCAGGAGGTCTTCACATCCAGGGCTCACCAGATTCTCTTAAAGGCCATACATTTCTCTTAATACTGCAGCGATTCATTTAACGACCACGCGAAAAGGGCCGTAACATTGGAAGCAACTCATTTAACCACCTGACTTAGCCACAGAAATTCGATTGTGGTCATAACTTGAGGACTTCCTGTTTTCTTCCTGGCAGAGGAGGAATGCCACCCTCAAGGTGCAGAACTGGGCATTTGGGGGGGGGTGTTGTTTTCTGTCCCACCTGTCCATCCAGGTGTGTAAGGAAGAAAGCTTCACCGCCCCTAAAAAGTTTTTTCTTCTCCCTTGCATGTCTTTGCGGTGTCTTGCGCTGAGTTCGAGAATTATATCCTTGCAAAATCCGCTCGGTGCTTGAGGATGGCAGAGCGCGTCCTGCAGAATTTTCCCGGGCTGCCATTTTGGCTGTATTGGGCCTGAAGGCAGACGGTGCCCGTCCTCTGTTTTTTTGTTTTGTTTTGTTTTAATCTGGGCTTTCTTTCTCGCAGGGGGCAGCTAGAGATCAGCAGTCTGGTCCCTTTGGGGCCCAAGTATATCGTGAAGTGGAACGCAGCCTTGCCCCAGGTTCAGGTGCTAGAAGTGGGGCAGGAGTGCAGCGCCAAGGAGAAAGACGGCATTGCCATCCCGAACGTGGGCTCCAGGAAACTGGCGCCACCCAGCCAGTCTGCCCATAGTAAGGAAATTTCTCTCCTTTTCCCACGGCTCAAAACGGACGGCTGAGGAGAGGGGAGGGGGACGAGCCGTAAAAAAATCAGGACATTTGGCATTCATCCCTAAAAATCTTCCTTTTAAATCTCCCTTGGACCCATCCTTTTTTCTTTTGGGAGCACCCGTTGCAAATATCACCCGAAATGTTTTATAAGTTCTGTTTGAGCCGACTTGGGTGACTTGTAAATTCTCAAGACTCCTTTTTCTGCTATGTGTTCAAAACGGATTCAACACTCTCTCTTTCTCTCTCTCTCTTTTTATGTTTCTTTAGCTCTCTCTCTTTATCTCTCTCTCTTCTTCTCTCTCTTTCTCTCTTTCTTTCTCTCTCTCTTTATCCATCCGTCCGTCCGTCCGTCCGTCTGTCTGTCTGTCTGTCTGTCTATCTATTCATCAAATCTGTCTACACATATAATATAGCTATCTCTGTCTAGCTGCCTACCTTCCTACCTATCCATCCATCCATCCTTCTATCTATCTATCTATCTATCTATCTATCTATCTATCTATCTATCTATCTATCTATCTATCTATCTATCATCTATCTATCTATCTATCTATCTCTCTATCTCTATATCTATCTATCTATCCATCCTTCTATCTATCTGTCTGTCTGTCACTCACTCTAGCTATCTAGCTATAAAATCTATCTACACATATAATATAGCTATCTCTGTCTAGCTGCCTGCCTACCTACCTACCTACCCATCCATCCATCCATCCATCCATCCATCCATCCATCCATCCATCCATCCATCCATCCATCCATCCATCCATCTATCTATCTATCTATCTATTTACACATATAATATAGCTATCTGTCTAGCTGCCTACCTACCTACCTACCTACCTACCCATCCATCTCTCTCTCTCTCTCTCTCTCTCTCTCTCTCTCTCTCTCTCTCTCTCTCTCTCTCTCTCTCTCTCTCTCTCTCTCTCTCTCTCTCTCTCTCTCTCTCTCTCTCTCTCTCTCTCTCTCTCTCTCTATCTATCTATCTATCTATCTATCTATCTGTTGTCCAATTGGAAGATGTCAAATACTTGGGAAATTATTTTTCAAATTATATTTCTCCTGAAAGGGGCCCAGCATTCAGCTGAACTGAAGAGAGGAGATTTCTGTCCCCTTGAGTTTTATTTTTAAAGCTGTGAGGCACCCTCAAAGAGCATCCTTTTTTGTTTAAAGTCAGTAGCGTTCTTTACGATGGATTCAGTACGATGAGTTTGCTAGTATCGGCAGACCTCAACTTAAGATCTTAATGGAACCTGTC